ATGGGGAATCAATGATTGAATAGGTCGATGGATGGACGGATGGATGACTGATAGGTAGATAAATGAGTAGATGGATGGATGGATGAGTGGATGAAAAGGTGGATGAGGGTTAAATAAACGGACAGATGGATGGATGAATGGATGGATGGATGAATGGATGGATGAATAGATGGTAGTTAAATAGACAGAGATATGAATGGACAGATGGATGGATGGATGGGTGGATGGATGAATGGATGGGTAGATGGATGAATGGATGGATGAATGGATGGATGGATAAAGGGGAGGATAGATGGATGGATGGATGAGTGGATGGATAGATGGATGGATGAGTGGATGGATATATGAATCGATAGATGCATGGATGGATGGATGGATAAACATCAATGTCTGTGAACAATGAGTGAACAGTTCCGGTCACCACTGTTTACACCCCCGCCCCCGTGCTCCCGTCTTCCCCGACGACTCCTGAATTCTTCTCCATGTTTTCCAGCAGCTCATGAGATTATTTTAAAAATCATGTGTTCAACACATGTGCCTGTGATCATTTTTACCTGTGTGAGAAATTCACCTTTTTCACTGATGAATCAGACTTTAAGAGCGTGAGCCGCTCTTTGATGCAAGAACTGTTGCTGTGTTTTGGTCCTTTTGAAGTCACGNCGCCCCCCCCACCCAAAAAAACATGTCCAACAGCTCAGGGAATTCTGTTTATGAAAGCAAGGTTTACAAGTATTCCTCCGGAAAGTTTATGTTCAAGATGTGCGATTGTGAACCAGCAGCCAGCGGGAACCATGGCTTTAAATATTCTCAGAAACTGGAGAACGCTCAGGAGAAGTCGTCAACGCTGGTAGAAATGACTAACTACAGCTGTTTAATTTAAATTTGTAAAAATAAACATTATGGTGTTGAGTTCTTTGCATGGATTTTACACCAATGATAAGGAAGTAAAACTGATATTTTCTGCTTCCTCTTGTTTGCAAGTCATTTCTCTGGACCTTAAATTTGGATCTGGTTACAAATGACAGCCAGAACAACAGGCTGGAGACTGAACCGAGCAAGATTTCACAGGTCAGTCATGACTTCAAAAGTGTCATACATTGAAAATGGTCTGTCAGAAAAGCTGTTTTTAAAGGCATCGGTTTAGATTTTTGGTTCTGTGTGAGACACAGATGCACCGTAAAGACTTTTAACCACCCGCAACACTAAAAGTGACAAAAGTAAGATTTCTTTTTGTTTAGATTTTTGGTTCTGTGTGAGACACCGTAAAGACTTTTAACCACCCACAACACTAAAAGTGACAAAAAAAATATATTTTTTAATCATCTAGAGAGCAGAAATTTTAGTTATTGCATGTGACTCACTGAAGAACATGTAGAATATGGTGATAGTGGTGAATTTTTATAAACTGAAAACCTCTCTGCTTTTTTCATTTGCAAGTCATTTCTCTGGACCTTAAATATGAAATGATCACAATTCACTGACTTTTTTTTTGTATGTTAAAATGCCAGTTAACAAACTGCTACATTTGTCGCTCTAATGCTACATTATCACTACTACGTTGTCTCAGGGTCAGAGAGGGGACGAGGGACGACTTGTTTTGAGGTTTTTTTTCGGGGGTGCACTCCAGTGTCGGTGGTCCCCAGGCCTCGTCCCACTGAAGCTGGTCGGTCTTTACAAGGCCACAGCCAGTGATGTCCTGCCAGCTTTACGGCACCGCAGACTACATGAGAACCATGTCAGAGGCAACGTGATCCCTTCTATGGGCCTGCGGACCACTGTCTTCATGCTGTCTTACAGCCCACTGAGACGCCCTCTCCCAGCAAGAACACACACACACACACACACACACAGATAAAAACAAACACTAAAAAAAGAGTCAGAGCCAGTGTCACCCAGCTGACAGCGTAAAGAAAAAAAAACACATAATTATACCTTCCTCGTTTTTTAAAGGTCCCATGCAGCGTTTGTCTGTGTGAAAATTGGATTTCTCTACTTCTGCGGGCTCGGTTTCATGACTCTCTCTGCGGCTGTCCATCTCACCGTTTCATCTTTGAAGTAACTACCAATATACTTGACAAGTTAACACGAGCGAGGGTCCGCTGATAGGCAGAACTGAGGGGCCAACATCCATCGTTAACATCAAGTGTCGAGTCTCACTGTCCTTCGAGTGAACGGAGCAGAAGAAGCTTTTTTTTTTTTTTTTTTTTACTTTGCTATTTTGAACTTCCGACGACGGAAGAAATAGGAAAAAAAATGGGGGGGGGGGGGGGGGGGGCC